GTGCCACGCTACTAGGAACAAGTGCCTTACTAGTAGTACCAAGAAGCGATTAGTAACAAGTGCCACGCTACTAGGAACAAGTGCCTTACTAGTAGTAACAAGAAGCTATTAGTAACAAGTGCCACGCTACTAGGAACAAGTGCCTTACTAGTAGTAACAAGAAGCTATTAGTAACAAGTGCCACGCTACTAGGAACAAGTGCCTTACTAGTAGTAACAAGAAGCAACTAGTCTAATAGCTTCTTGTTACTACTAGTAAGGCACTTGTTTCTAATAGCAAACAGTGTTACTACTAGTAAGGCACCTGTTACTACTTTTCCAGCCACACCGCCCGGCCAAGGCGTGGAACTCAGACACGAACGCCTTCTACTTAGCTTTGTCAGAACACTCGAGCTTGGTGTGGTACCTTGACGAGGAAGATCGGCTTCATGCTGTGGATGAGAATGGTCTTGACCAGTGCGTTTGCGGAAACGGACGTGCGAATCTGAGTTTATGCGACTCATGTGACAACAGAAGTTGGATCATCAACAGGCAAGTGCTGATGGACCCGAATGGAACCTCATGCGCCTTCAACCAGAGCAAGAATACCATCATTACCAAGCCTTGCAAAGAAGGGCAGAAGGCAGGGGAGACATGGTATTTTGCCTCTGGAAATTGTTTCGTTGGCATGCAGATGGTGGATACTGCAACGAAAGCTTGGAATTTCACCGTGGCTGCCAAAACTGACATTCTGGAGCTGAAAGATTTGCAGTATGAGGCAGAGGTGACCAACCGCACAACGGAACTGTTCCAGATTCGCTTGAGCAAGAACAGTTGCATTGAGGCAGACTGGAGCTGCCATTATAACCATTCAGGTGCGGCAGAAGCGTAGTAGGCTGGAGGCCATCGCTAGTGAGTTGGAGGCGATCGCATTTAGGTTGGAGGCCATCACTAGTAGGTTGGAGGCCATCGCTAGTAGGTTGGAGGCCATGGCTATTAGGTTGGAGGCCATCCCTCGTAGGTTGGAGGCCATCGCTAGTCGTTGGTAGGTTTGGAGGCCATCGCCATTAGGTTGCAAGCCATCGCTAGTAGGTTGGAGGCCATGGCTAGTAGCTTAGGAGGCCATCGCTATTAGCTTGGAGGCCATCACTAGTAGCTTGGAGGCCATCGCTAGTAGGTTGGAGGCCATCACTAGTAGCTTGGAGGCCATCGCTAGTAGGTTGGAGGCCATTATTCTAGGTTGGAGGCCATTACCTTTAAGGTGCGCCAGAGCTTTGAAGTTGGTGTCTCGCTTGTTTGTATTTTTCGCTCTTGCTCCACATATAGGGCCTATCAAGCGACATGTTGAAGAGACGGTTGCTAAGAAGTATGTCGCCGGAGCTGCATTCATGCCAAAGTCGAGAAGGTGAAGCCTGGGTTCTAGTAGGCTAGTGTAATATCGTGTAACTAACGACATGTCATTGACGTCACAACTGATTGCTGCTTCGATTCTTTCGAAAAAATAACACATCCTGCCAGGAGTGACGTACCATTGCATGCAGGTGTCAGAGAACTGCACCGGGGGCTTTAGCATGCAAGAGGGTGGCATCATTCGATATTACCCGGAGGGTGATTTGAGAAGAGGACCATACTATTTGTGGGGTGGATGCCCAGATGGCTATGCTTGCCATGGCACACAAGTCTGGGTCATTGGATCGGCATCACAAGCTACGTCATGGCAGCTGTCTGCAAACAGCATTCACGTGAATCCAGGTCACACCGCTGGTTCTACTTTCGATTACATGGCGATCTATTACGAACATATAGTTACTACACCATCTGGTCAATATGACCTGGGAACGGTGGACTGTGCCCCCGCGATGTTGTCGATGATCGTGGGGCCGATCTTAAGTGGGGATGTGAATGATGTTTGGATGGAATGCGCAAATACTGCGCCGGCTTCAATGTCTCAGACCAATTGCGACTTCTATACACTGAGCTACGAGAAGAAAGCAAAGTCCTTGTCGATTGCGTGTCCAACCGGTCAAGTCATGACGTATCTCCAGGGTTGGTTTGCCTCAGACGGCCACTACCCAGAAGAAGGTGGCTCCATCGGGTACTCATGTTGTGAACTTCAGCTCCCTGAACTTACACGACTCAGCTTCGGCGGAGGTGTACCTCCCACAGCTCCCGATGGAAGCCATGGAAACTACACCTTTTCCTGTGAAGATGTCGGGGTGTTGACGGGGCTACTAGACAAGAAGAAGCTAGTAGGTGGAGGCCATCGCTACTATTAGCTCATTCGCTACTAGTAACAAGAAGCTACTAGGTGGAGGCCATCACTACTAGTAGCTGCACAAGAAGCTACTGAGGCTCACTTGGGCAGAACATGTAGATGATGCTAACGTTCTTTGCAACGGATACCATCGCATCCCGATTGGTGCATGCGTGATTCTGGTTGGTTGCTCTCAAGAACCGGATGATCCTTACACTCAGTGTAGTCAGAAAGGCATGATGTATCAGTTCCAATTTCCAAACTACCATGGGAAGAATGACACATCAAGCTCAACAACCTATATGTCTACCTGCGAGGCTTCTGTATCCATCGTGTCAAATCAATCTCAAAGTGGAGATCCTCAAAGCTTGTCTTTGATCGTGCAAAATCAAGAGTTGCTCACCCCAGAGCAATTGCAGGCTTACTCCAGTACACCAACCATGCAGGTGGTTGTGCAATCAGACATTCTTTTCAGTTGCCGGCCAAGTCCTACTGGACCGGTGCATTTGGCCAACGTGAATTCCACGTTGTGTGCCAATCGCGTGCCCGTTTCCCCGAGAGATCTCCGGAGTGCCTCTGGCGTGGTCTCCAACTTGGGAGACAAAAGTTTGCTCATCCAAAAGACATGCCCAGTGCTCATGAGCGCTTCAGATCAACCGGTTGCTCGAGTGGTTAGCCCAAAAGGTTTGACCATGGAGAGTTTCTTCAATATCCTCAAGAATCAGGTGGGTGTGCTTTTTGTCAAAACTGATTGCAGCATGTTGTAAAGGTCTCTAGACTCTAGTGTGTGACGTGTTTTAGAACGAACCGTGCAACGAAAACCAGCCACCTGTCAGGTCTACTACAGTGTGCCCTTCGTGAGTCCGTATCAATGGCCCTTCGACTTCACGGGAGACTCCCTTTCATCAGCGAATCTGGTGGGTTTTCTCAGTCTCTCTGCCATCGGAGAGGCCTGGCCTCCAACCTAAGAGCGATGGCCTCCGACCTAAGAGCAACGATAACCTCCAACCTAGTAGCCATGGCCAACAACCTAATAGCTTATTTGGTTTAGGTGTTCTCAGTCTCTCTGCCATCGGAGAGGCCTGGCCTCCAACATAAGAGCGATGGCCTCCAACCTACTAGAGATGGCCTCCAACCTACTAGTGATGTCCTCCAACCTACTAGTGATGGCCTCCAACCTACTAGGGATGGCCTCCACCGATGGCCTCAAACCTACTAGTGATGGCCTCCAACCTACTAGTGATGGCCTCCAACCTACTAGAGATGGCCTCCAACCTACTAGTGATGGCCTCCAACCTACTTTAAAAAAAACCTCCAACCTACTAGTGATGGCCTCCAACCTACTAGAGATGGCCTCCAACCTACTAGTGATGGCCTCCAACCTACTAAAAAAATCCTCCAACCTACTAGAGATGGCCTCCAACCTACTCGTGATGGCCTCCAACCTACTAGAGATGACCTCCAACCTACTAGTGATGGCCTCCAACCTACTAGTGATGGCCTCCAACCTACTA